GCCGTGACGAGTCCGAAACGCTGTCTTATGGGTGTCTTGTGGTTGGATACAGATTTTCCAATTGCTCGAGCGTAAGTCTATTTTGGAAAAAAAATTTGCCCCATGTAATTCATCAAAAAGGTCCTCAACAACTGGAATTGGGAATTTATTCTTGATCGTCTGGTTGTTTAGTTGTCTGTAATCAACACAAAAGCGCCAAGAACCAATTTTCTTCTTAACTAGCAAATAGGGAGAAGCAAACGGACTTTTGCTTGCTTGAATTATAGAGGAAGTCAACATCTGAGTGATCTGTTTTTCCACCTCATTTTTCTGATGATGCGTGAAGTGATAGGGTCGTAAATTGATTAGAAGGGAGCCTGGTATGAGAGTAATTGGATGGTCATGAGCCTTGATAGGAGGCAGACCCGTAGACTCATCAAAGATATTGTCAAACTCTTGTAATAAAGGCTCTAATTCACTGGAAACTATTGAAGCAACAGGGTCCATATCGAGTACATAAAATTCGTCCATTAAAGAAGAAACCTTTGCTGTCATTTTTTGCATTCTGTTTCCTGGTATCGATTTCCAATTACCCATCGTAGTCTGACCTTGTATAATCATCAGTTTGCCATCCTTTTGAAAGCTCGAAGTCATGTCTTTACAGTCCATAAGAACTGGACTAAATTGCTTCATCTAATCGACACCAAGCACCCTATCACTCCCACCAAGTCGAAGGATTCGAAAGTCATGATTAAAATGGAATCCTTGTATTGTCCAAGATACTTGATTCGATTTTGTTGAACTGAAGACTTTCTCTCCATTAGCAACTATTATTGCCAAAGGTTGAGTGGAACCCATTTCGAGACCCTCCTTTAAACCACTAACAAAAATTGACACTAAGAATTCCTCTTGCAATATAGGACTTTGAATCAGAATATAGGGCTTAAGTTCTTCAAACTTATCTTGGTACTCGTCAACAGAACATTTTTGCAACAACTTACTAAATTCCTCTATAATTTTCGAAAAAGTTGTATCGTTAAATCTATGACATATATCAACTTCAAATTCATGCCATAAGACCCGATGTTTTTGCAAAATATAATCATCAAACCAAGTTTCAGCCTTACCTCTATTATGCATTGCAGCCAGCGCCGCTCGTTCTTCAGCAGTAACTCCATAAAAATGAAAGAATTTGATGCACTTTTGGATCCATCCCTTTGGTTTTGTCCCTTCAAATATAGGTAATTCTATTCGAAGTCTTGGTGTCACTGATCCGAGACTCCCAAATGACCCTCGTCGTTCATCAACAAGGGCTCCTTGTGATATTTTTGTTCCACTGCCGTCACCCAACTGCAAATCTGCTTTCGGCTTCTGAGGTGGTTCATCTGGTAAAGCCTGATTTTTCATTAATTATTGTCACAGCCGCTGGTTGCTTACCATCAGGTTTTGAAGGTTCAAGAGTCTTCACTTGCTGACTGTCGGGGCTTTCTGGTTCCTGTCCGTCCTTTCTAATCAGTATACCCAAAATTTGTTCAACATAACCTTGATATGTATTCATCCGGACTTCCAATGAGCTGATTCGATTGTCTTGCCCCTTCCACCACTTTGGTGGATTAGTGTCGTCTGCTGCGTTCTTTACCAAAAGCGTCAAATCCTCTATTTGTTTCTGTAGTGCAGAAAGTTCTGGATTTTGTGTCATTGTGTAATTTTTCTTTGGCATAACAGATATCAAAAGCCAGGAATGGAGGCTCTGATACCAATTTGTTATGGAATAGAAGAAATAGAACGAGGTTTAAGAAAAGAATGAGAGAATTGAGAGAAGAAATCAATCATTCATTCATTGCATAAGGGATTTTTACAACCAAGGCAGGTAATTTATTTAGTTACATTTGCCATACATTTCATGCCAACTGTCCTTGCAATATAACAACTAAATAACATAATTATTCTTCTCTTTCCTTTCTTCTTCAGGTACTGAACCTTTGGTTTTGTGCTGCTCCTTCAAACATTTACTTTGCCTAGCCTGCTCCACTGCTATGGTAAATTTCCTCGTGCACCTCACGTGATTTAATTCCCAATCCCTGTCTTCAATCCCTAACCCTCGATCCTCATTTCCCAATTGTTCTTCGATGTTCCTCGTCCCTCTTTTTCTCCAACCATGACACATTCATATGAGTATATACACACCACCTATGGGACTACTGATTGACGGTCAATCTTTATCTTATAGCATAGAAAAAAATTCGATGGAGAAACTGAGGGAGGCTTCTGCTGAGGCAGCAAATGCTGTCTGGCAAGCTGCGCAGGCTGCATCTGCTGTTACTCCAGAGGAAACATATGTCTGATGGCAATGCACCTGCCGCCGAAACAAATTCAGATGCTAGTAGTAACGAGGCTGGTGTTCGCCTTCATTCTGGAGCTGTATGTATATTGCAAACATGTCTGAATAGCTGTCTAGGCGTGCAGCCACAATATTCGTACTTCAGGTTGTAGTTGCTAAAGAGGCTGTAAGGGACCTGGGTGGGATGGTTAGGCAGCTATCCTTGGATCAATTCGAGAATGAGAGTAGACGGATGATTCCCTCTAATAATTACTTTTCCTATCCTACCAGAAAGTTTGCTAGACAGAGGTCCCCTCGAGGCTTGCATAAAAAGGCAAGCATTAAATGAATTTATTTGTTTTCTATTTAAAAATTTATTATAGTTTAATGTTATATTTATTTTTCAGGTTGTTTCTACATAGCTTCAGCTTCGAAACTGGAAAACCCCCACTAATAGGAGGTTTTTCTTGGATTCATATGAAGTGGGTGAGCTTTGTTATGCTGCTGAACAGATTTTTATGCAATAACCCACAGTGCTTCAGTTGAAAGCTCCTATAAAAGTCTTTGGTGACCTTCACGGACAGTTTGGTGATTTAATGCGGCTATTCGATGAATATGGATTTCCTTCAACTGCCGGAGACATTACGTAAGTTTGGTAGTTACGCTGCTGGTGCAAGTTAGATTACTCCCAGTCATATTTGAAACTTTAGGCATATGACTTTTCTTCCTACTTTATCATAAGTTTTGCTTGCTATTTTTCTCCAAAATTTCATATTCAATTGCATTTGTTTTTTAGGTACATTGATTATCTATTTTTAGGAGACTATGTTGATCCAGGACAACACAGCTTGGAAACAATAACATTGCTTCTTGCTCTTAAGGCAAGCTCCGGGATCAAATGAGCCTTAGTTTAACTATGAATGTGACTAGTGTTGTTTCTTTTTGAATTAGTTATCTTGTTTGTTATTATTGTGCAGATTGAATACCCTGAAAATGTTCACTTGATTCGTGGAAACCATGAGGCTACTGACATAAATGCACTCTTTGGTTTTCGTATTGAATGCATTGAGAGAATGGTCTGAATGAGCATTCATATGTCAATTGATTATTTATCTTAACAAGAAAATGTGCTTATTATCATCTATCTGTAGGGGGAGAATGATGGTATCTGGGCATGGACACGGTTCAATCAACTATTCAACTATCTTCCATTATCTGCTCTTATCGTTAAGAAAATTATCTGTATGCATGGCGGCATAGGAAGATCTATAAATTCGGTTGAACAGATAGAGAAACTTGAGCGGCCAATAACAATGGATTCAGGATCCATTATTTTAATGGACCTATTATGGTATGCATTTTTTCAACTCCTTACTCTAATATATATAATTCTTTCTGCAGATTAATCCCAACTTTCATTTGCCCGTTCAGGTCTGATCCAACAGAAAATGATAGTGTAGAAGGTTTGAGACCTAATGCTCGAGGTTCAGGTCTAGTCACTTTTGGGGCATGAATGTTATTGCTTTGTGTGTAAAATTGTTACCAGTACTTAAATTTGATAGATATAGGAGCTGATAATGATTGGCACCAAGGTTCAATAGTTTGAATTTACTCGATGGATACAGTCTTTTCCTTTTTTTTAACATTATTTCATTAAATGCTTATTGTTTCAGAGCTATCGCATTCTTATTCTCGCATAATCCATATTATAGTTGTGAGCACTAAGGTGATTGAACTTTTATGCATATGAACCTAGAATGATTTATGTTGCCATGTGCAGCCTGATCGTGTGACGGACTTCTGTAAGAAAAACAATCTACAACTTATTATAAGGGCTCTTGAATGTGTAATGGATGGGTTCGAACGATTTGCTCAGGGTCAATTAATTAATCTTTTCTCTGCAGCTAATTATTGCGGTACGTAAACCACATTGAGCCACATTCTAGTGCAGGCTTATCTTTTTGCTGCCTAATCTAGTATATTCATCCAGGTACCGTGAACAATGCCAAAGCTCTATTAGTGGCCGGTAGAGGATTGTTTATAGTCCCAAAGTTGATCCATCCCTTGTTACTACCTTTTCGGTCCCCAGAAACATCACCAGAACGGGTTGCAGACGACAAATGGATGCAGGTAACTTTATATACACCACAGAATAAGGCGCACTTGTTCACTGCATCTACATCGGTATTTTATCATGTTTATATTGCACCACAGGAGCTGAATATCCAAAAACCACCAACACCAACTCGCGGTCACCCTCAACTCGGCCACGATCGCAGCTCACTTGCATATATATGAACATGGCATAAAAATGTTGAGGACTGTAACATACGAAGATATGATACTGGAGTCCAATGTTTACTTGAGAAGGTAGATTCTTCCTTTAACCAGTAAGTAAAATATACGTACAGTTTATTTATTAGTTCTTCAAAGGATAACTATATAGCAGCTTTTACCATTGTGCGATATAAAGAGAGCCGATAGAACAAATTCTTACTGGTTATTTTGGCTCATTTGTTTTACTCCAGTGTTTTTTACCATTGAGCGATATATAGACAGTTAATGTTACCCTATATGGCAGTAACGCCATCGGTTAATCCCATATCACAGTAAAAATTTACAGAATTGCACAACTTCAAAATATGAAAAAACAAATAAAAAAACGCAAATTCTCAATCAAGATCATTCCTTCTCGTCATTACGCAAAGGCTGAACAATACAACTCTGATAACAACGATGATTCTTACAACCATCGGATTTCAAACCAACCCTCATCCCTATACCTTTGAGACTCTTCAAATTTAGCATAAGCACCGTGTCCGATCAACAACAAAGCAACTTCAACATGCCCTGCCTCCAACGCACAATGCAACGGTGTATACCCATTGTCATCGACAACGTTAACCTCGCTACCGTATCCGAGCAAAGTCCGAACACTCTCGAGTTTGCCTTTGAATGCCGCCCTATGTAGAGGCCTCCACCCATTCTGGTCCTTCCCATTCACATTCGCCCCTTTACCAATGCAACTCTTTATCCCATTCACATCCCCAACCCTCGCTGCACGGTTCAAAGCATCACTTAATTGCAACGAATCATACACATTCGAACAGTCGTTTCCGAAGGCGAGTGCGAAAGGGGTCCTCCCTTCTTTGTTCAATGCGTATTTGGTGTAATTTGATGCGTCTAACAAGCATTCCACGGTGTCTAAATGACCTCCCTTGGCAGCTAAATGAAGTGGGGTGCATTTGTTGATATCTAAAACATCAGGGCTTGCACCTACTGATAAACAAAATCGAATCACTTGGGTGTGTCCGTGGATTGCAGATATGTGGATTGGGGTTCTGCCGTGAAAATCGACTGATTCGATCAAATCAGTGTTTTCATAAGCTCGAAACAAGACATCCATCAAATCCACACTGTTGATTGCTGCTGCATAGTGAAAAACGTGGTCGATTGAGTTATCAATTTCACAACCAGAGGAAATCAAGACATTGACAACATCAAGATACCCGGCTTCAACAGCTAGGGAGATCAAGGATCTTCCATTAGAGTCCTTATGATTTACATCTCCACCATTATCGATTAACGTACGGACCAGATAGGTTTTCCCTGAAACCGCAGCGGATTTGAGTAACACAGTGAGCTGATTCCCAGAACACCCAGAAATTGCGTTGTTCAAGCAGAGATCGATATCTGAAATTGTGGTATTACCGGAAATGAGATGCTCGATCACTTGAGGACCCAGGAAGGTGATCGGCAAAGTGGCGTCCTTGAATATGTGGGGTCCGGGCTTGGAAAACCGACGGCAGAGATCATCGTGATTGGCTTTCCCCAAAGGAACCATGGAGGTTTTGACGGTGATGGCATCGGGAGGGTCAGTCAAAGGAGGTTGATTGGACGGCTGGGAGAGGAGAGTGTAGGATGAAGATGAAAGGGGAGGGATGATGGAGAATGGCTTGTTGAAAGAGAAGAAAGATGGGTTTTTTGTGGATAAAGAAACGGCAACGGACATGGTGTGCATAAGATTTGTTAAAGTGAAAGTTTTGGATATCTTTTGACCTCTAATGAACGCTAATTCGATTCCATTAACATCTGCTTTCACTAACCTGTCCATGAGTAACCAATTTCCAGCCTTTTTTTCCCTGGAAAATTTTTTAGATTTAAGAGGGGTTTGGTTGGTTGCCGAGAAAAAACTAAAGGAAGCAAAGTATGTTAATTACTGGGTTGTTTACTTTAATGGTCATGAAGTCACCTGATTCATTTTTAATGTTAAAAAAGTGGGTTTAGGTTTGAATGGAGCAGGTGAGGAAAGACTTTGAAGATGAAGGATTGAAAGCAAGAAAGAGTCCTTGTCTCTGGCTTCGTAATACCTTGAACGACCTGCGTCCGTTTGACGGTACATAATCTTAATGTATTTAGTTTTAGAATATAATTTAGGCTAAAATATTCAAATTTTCCCTAAATTATAAGGGAGTGTTTTATTAACTATTTCCACTATTAACGGTTATAAAATAGTTTTTAATTATAAAACATTGGTTTATTAAATTTTTATACTATTAAAAGTTATAATACGATCACTCACATTTATATGTTCTAAATTTTTTATTTTTTATTAAAAAATTGACGATGATCTGAGTTTAACGTTAACATATTAATTGGGATATGATAGTCGTTTAAGATTTTAAGATAAAATTTAATTATATCTCAGTCAGTATGATAACATATAATTTAAATTGTCATCAATTTTTAACTAAAAGTAATGAGTTTGGAAAATATGAATAGTCGAATAACCATTTTATCACTTTTAATAGTCGGGACTCAACAAAACATCATCATATAATCGGAATCATTTTATAATTTTTAATAGTCTAAAACTAAAAAAAATATCACTATAATCATGGATTATTTGTGTACTTCATCTTAAAGTGCAAGGTATAATTTTGTAAAATTTTATTTTATTCGTAATTTAAGATTATATATATTATATATTTAGATGCCTTAGTTTTTTTTATTGTCGCTTGTAATTTTTTTATTTATTTTATCGACAATAATATTAATTTTGATCAATTCATCGATTTTTTTTTATATTTTCTTATATTAACTTTTTACTTTTTCCTTATTTTATAGTTTTAATAACTTTGTCTTAATAATGTGATTTTCTCTACTCTTATCACACATTTTTCTGTCTTTTGAAGTCATCTTGACTTATCAAGATGATGAATATTTGTTATCCTATTGATCTTCTCTATTTTGGACTCTCACATTGGATTTGGATATGCAATTTTCATTCGAAGATAATTTTTTTACGATGGTGACTCTGATTTGCAATTGTCAGTGATCTTTCAGTTGTTTTATCTCTTATCGTGATTTGTTTGTCAACGAGTCAAACTTATGTCCATGTCAATGACTAAGAAATTGACCATTATTATATGTTATTTGCACTATTGATTGGTAGGTATTTGATAGAATGTGTAAATTTAGAGACAAATTATTATGTTTTATTGCATTATATTTTTGTTAAATCAACAATCAAATTTAATGACGAGATATCACAATAAAAATGTGATTTTCTAAAAATATAACAGTTCACCTTTAATTTCGTCAAAAATAAAATAAAAAACAAAAATATATACAATACCAAATAGAAAAAAATGACTGTCCCTTATTCTCATATGTAATGGGATAAGGGGGAGATAAGATAGTAGGCTGCCCCAACATTAGATTGTGAATAGCTTCCGTAAGAGACCTTCAAATTATGAAATGCCCATGAAACTTTTTTTCAATTTTAAAAAAATGAGAGCAGGACAAAAAAGGACTTTTTGGTGATTGATGAAAAGATCAACCGTATCCTTCAACAAGAAAATTGGGTCTAATTGGCAGCGTGACATTTTCAAGGAGACGCCACCATTTGTTGTTTGAACGAATAAAGATTAATCAGCTGACTGTAATGCGTTGGATTTACTTATAAAATATTGCTTCCAAGATTATTCTTTATTAGGACTAATCACTTCTTTGAATGGACATTTAAAAGTATGCTTAAATTACAAAAGGTGCTTAACTTATGCTCGTTTTTTCAGTTTAGTGTCTAACGTTTATTTCGTTTTAATTTGATGCCTAATATTTCATTCCGTGACTCAAAATGGGTCCAACCATGGTGGACCGTTAAGTTTGATCGTTAACCCATTAAAAAAAGTCACCTGTCATACTTTTTAATATTAAAAATAATTTCTGAAAATAAGAAATTTTTTCATTCCAGTTTCATGTCTAACGTTTCTTTCCCTCTCTTCTCCTTTTCCTTCTCCTTCTCCATCTAAGAACCCTAAATTGAATTCAAGAACCCATTTTTCTTTCTCTTCTTCCTTTGTTCCACTCCACACTCAAGAACCCACCCGTTTGGGGCGGCTCTTGCCTTGTTCTTTTGGTTCGGAATTGGTGTTTTTGTTTCTCAGTATTATCCCTTCTTTCCATTTCTTCTTCATTTGTTTGTTAATTTCATTGGTGGGATTCTAAGGGTTGATAATAAGTGGAATGAATTAATTATGTGAGAATTAGGATGAGTTTGAAATAGTTGTTAATGACAAGATTGAAGATTACCAACTCATTTTTCTTTGGTTTCATTTCCTTATTTCTCTGCAACAATGTTAAAAAACTGAAGAATAGCTTCGATGGTAAGAACTCATATGAAGAAGAAGAAATTCAGGAGAGATCGTGCATGGTTTTGAGTGTTGGGTCGTCATTGTGTTGGGTTAAGATCAAAGGAGTGGGACAAAGGAAGAAGAGGAAGAATAGTGGGTTCTTGAATTTAATTTAGGGTTCTTAAATTCAATTTAGAGTTCTTGGGTCGAGAAGGAGAAGGAGAAGGAGAAGGAGAAGAGAGAGAAAGAAACGTTAGACACCAAACTGGAACGAAATAAACGTTAAGCACCAAACTGAAACAAAATAATTTTTTAATATTAAAAAATATGTCACATGGTATTTTTAATGAGTTAATGGCCAAACTTAATTGTTCATCACAGTTGGACCCATATTGTGCCACAGAATGAAACGTTAGACACCAAACTGGAACGAAATAAATATTAGGCACTAAACTATAAAAACATGCATAGATTAGACACCTTTCATATATTTAAACCTTAAAAGTAAAACTTAGAAGCAATTATAATAACATAGTGTTGGCTTAAATCATTTGTTTGCAATTAGAATAATGCTTTTATTGTACAACACATTAATTTTAATTATTGTCCCCAACTATTTTGCAATCCTTCCAATGATGGTGATGTTAGGGTAAAAAAAAATCTGAGTTACTATTAATTTCGGCATTGGGTAAATTTATGTCTACCTACAAAGGGAGTAATTTAATATTTGATATGTACAAAATTAAAGAATTAAATACAATTAATAGTAGTTTTAATATTTTATCAATTGTATATAATTTTAATTGATATACTATTTAATTTAATATTCACCGCCCTTAAAATTGTTTTAAAAGTCCACTATCATTCTCTCCGATTTCCCATGACCCTGCCGGTCTAAGCGTTGCCCCCACCTATGATTCAGACAATAGGTCCACCCAGAAACCCCGTTGTCTTAACGATGATCCACCCGATGCGGGTGGAACAACTCTTGATGCAATGGATGTCACCATGGGAAATGTTGAATATATTCCATCTGCTCCGTCCACTATGCCTTCCTACAAAGAAAAACTTCTTGGAGATGATGTGTATGTCGTGTCGAGTGATGAAGATATCCTGGACGATGCTGAAATTGAGTTAATTGAGGGCGATGTTTCGAGAGGATTGATAGATGATATGATCTCTATTAATTTCTTTGAGAAAGTTCAGATTTAGCTTAGAAAACCCTGGATCAAACTGTTGTGTGGTCAAGCTCCTTGGTCGTAGGATTGGATTCACAACCCGCCACAATAAGATTTTTGACATCTAGAAGCCATCTCAATTGATCAAACTTATAGACATTGAAAATGATAATTCCTTGTAACACTCCGATTTCACTCTGACTTTTGAAAATTCTTGCTGAAGGCCCATGGATTTTCTTCGGTCAAATATCTAACTGTATAACCTTAGACATATATTTTTCTCCATTGCAATCGTACCCAACCAAGGTATAGTATGGATCCGATTACTTGGTCTGCTTGTAACTCTTTATATGAGAAGCCTTATTATTGAATTGGGGAATGTATTAGTTCAATAATTCGCATTAACTATCAAATGGAAAACGGTTGTAGATGCTGGAAGTCATAGAGTGCGGCTCAATTGAACAACAAGGGGCACCGAATTTTTAATTAAATTGTATTAGGGTTAATTACACATTTAGTCACTGCATATTTTAGGATATTTACAAGATTAGTCATTAAGCTTCAACTATAAATACCCTAGCCCATTTAGCTTCAAAATCATCCCAAATCATTTATTTCTCCCAATACTAGAGAGTTTTCTTGTGAGTAGTGAGTGTTTTGTAAACATCTTTAAATTTTCTCTCTTAGTAAAAGATCTGCAGCAGTCCGAAGACGTAGACAAAATTGGTTGAACTCCGTTATCAATTCAGGTATTATTTTTCCGCTTTTATTTCGCTTTCTCACTAATCTGGTTATAGGGAAATTACTCGTACTCGGTTTATTTCCCAACAACTGGTATCAGAGCTTTTGGTTGTGAATTTTGTTAATTTTTTGCGAGGTTACTATTCATTACTATTCATGTGAATAGTGAATTTCGTGAATAGTAAAAATTTTGTCGGCGATACAAATTTGTCGACGGAGGTGTTCTAATACACGGTGGTTCGTAAGAATTGTCAGAAACGATCCAAACAAAGCCAGATTTAAGTGGGAACGATGGCTGCAGACGAAGGGAATGTGAAAATTTGAGAAGTTCGATGGTGCGGACTTTGGCTTTTGGAAGATACAGATTAAATATTTTCTGTACCAGAGAAATCTATATCAACCTCTCTCAGGAAAGCAACCAGAGGGCATGAAGAATGAAGACTGGGCTCTTCTCGACAGACAAGCCCTCGGAGTTATCCGACTGACGTTACCCCGCAATGTTGCTTTCAACATAGCAAAGGAAAAGACCACGACGGTTCTTATGGCGGCTCTCTTCAGTATGTATGAGAAGCCATCGGCCTCAAACAAAGTTCATTTGATGAGGTGATTATTCAATTTGCGGATGGCAGAAGGGCCATC